CACTCTGCAGACCAGGCTGGCCTCGAACTCAGATTCGCCTACCTCTGCCTCCCAAGTGCTGGGATTAAAGTATGTGCCACCACTGCCAGGCTTACTTTTAAATATGTGTATATACATGTGTTGGGGGTATGTTCTTCCTAATATGGGTGCCTGGGGAGGCTAGAGGCATTGATTCCCCCTGAGCTGGAGTTATAGGTGGTTGTGAGCCTCCAAGGTGGCTGGGAATCAAACTCAGGTCCTGTGTACAGGCTCTTAACTGCTCCCCAGCTCCTAAATTTGTGCATCCTTTCAATACCTTTTGAGGTCTTTGCTCATTTTTCCTTTCCTTCCTTTCTTTATTTTTCTGTTCTTGTTCTTTTTGTTTTGTGGTATGGAGGACTGAACCCAGGAGCTCAAAAACTTTACCACCTGAGTTATTTTCTCAGCCCCATCTTTTGACAACCTTCTTACCATATTATTTGTGTGGTATTGACTTCTAGGAGTTCTTACTATATCATAACAATAGTTATTTTTGATATGCATTATTGTCTTTATTTATTTTGGGATAGGGTCTCACTATGTAAACCAGGCTAGCCCAGAACTCAGAGCTCTGACTGTCTCTGCCTCCCATGTGCTGTGATCAAAATTCTGTGCCACTATGCCTGGCTATTGTCTTTATTATTTATTTTTATTTATTTACTTATTTTGAGGCAGGGTCTTATTGTGTGATCTTGACTGGCTTGGAGCTTGCTGTGTAGACCAGGCTGGCCTCAAACTCAAAGAGATCTATCTGCCTCCACCTCCCTAATGCTGAGATGAAAAGTCTGTGTCACCATAATCTGGTTATTTTTATTTACTTACTTTTAATACTTTTTAATTCCATAAAGATTAATTTTTAATTAAAATTTTTTATTTTATGTATATGGGTCTCTTGCCTGTACACATGTCTGTGTACCACATTCATGCCTGCTACCTAAAAAGGCCAGAAGAGGACATTGGATGCCCAGGAACTGGAGTTACAGACAATTGTGAGCTGCCAATATGGGTGCTGGGGATTGAACCCAGGTCGTCTCTTGAGTAGCAAGTGCTCTTAACCACTGAGCCATGCCTCCAGCTCTTGTCTTTATTTTTTGGAGGGTAGTTACTCTGATTTCAGCATTATTATTTAATAGCCTTTTTCTCTTTAATCACTTTGACTATATAGCCCAATACTTTCTGCTGAAAGTTTCTGAAAGTGAGCTATTATTTCTTCTCAGATATTTCTTTATCATGACAATACATGTAAGTGTGACTTTCTACAAAGTGGATCATGAAGCTTCATGGATCTCCTAATGAGTTTAACATCAAAATTACTCGGTCATTCCTCCATCTATACATTTTTATCCACACATTAGCTTATCTTTTCAATTGATTAATTGCAATAGTGTCTCTCTAGATAGTCCTGGCTCTTGTGGAACTCATTCTGTAGACCAGGCTGGCCTTGATCTCACAGAGATCCACCTGTCTCTGCCTCTTGAGTGCTGGGATTAAAGGCGTGTGCCACCACCTCCAGCCTAGATTCAGGAATGCATTTATTTTGAGTAGGAGGTTGAGAGAAGCAGGCAATTCTCCCTAGACTTGAATCAAGTAGATCCGAGATGATCATGTTTCTGACATCTCCATGTCCTTTTATCATCACACTGATTATGTGTTCATTTTACCTAATAAGGTAACACACTGGCATAGATAATAAGGAAGAAATCAGTGGCAAAAGGAAGAAAACATTGTGCATATTGTAAATATAGTGAATTGCTAGACAACATTTAACAAGAAAAGCAGATATGAAGGGTGGGTCTTCAGAGCAAAAATTAATAGGAAGAGTCAGGAATGGGCTAAAGTATAGATGTGACGAACTAAAAGTAATGTGCTCTGCATTTGAGAAAATTTACCAAGAACATGATACTAGAGTAGGGTATAATGGCATGTGTCAATAATCACAACACTCAGTGGAGACAGGAGGATCAGAGTTGTAAGCCAGCCTAAGCTACACAGAGAATTTGAATCTCAGCTACATAGTGAGACTTATAGAGATGGAAGAGTCTGATCAATCACCACATTGCGTACTTATTTCTGCCTGGCTGCAGGGGAGGCTGGAAGAACAAATATGCAGATTACTTACCTACGGTCTCTCAGCAACAAGCCCATGTTCTCTGTGGTATTGGGAATGGGACTCTGCAGGCTAGATGTCCCTTCACTGACTTCTTCTGGCATCTCCAAACCTGCTTTCCTTTATTTCCCCTTAGATACCATCTCCTGGTGGCCACACCTTTCCACCCAGTGCTCCAAAAATCATTAGAGCCCTGAGAGGTCAGAATCCAGCCACAGCACATTCTAGAAGATAGAGTCCAGGTACACGCATCCCACTCTGTTCTTCCATGAGTATCAGTTTTACTTAGGCTCTTTCCATGAACTCAGAGATTCTTCCAATAAAATGACCCCTCTGCTTCCAAATCTAGAAGTAAAAATACCTCAACTTCCCCCTTCTTCCCACTACTCTCCAACATTCATGGGACTATAAACCCCATGATGCGAATGCTTGGTTTTGTTTCTGTGTTATTTATTCATTTTCTATGTGCGTATCGTATGTGTGTCACACAGACTTTGCTCCTGCATGCAGGCCATGACACACATGTGGAGGCCGGAGAATAACCTTGAGTATTAGTCCCTGCCTCCCACCTTGTTTGAGGCAGGGTTTCCTGACAGTTACTGCTGCAGTTACTACACCAGTAGCTACACCAGTCTAGCTGGCCTGCAGACTCCCCGGAGTTCTCCCATTTCCACCTCCCATCTCTCTCTAGGAGCACTGGGATTTCAGACAAGCGCTATTCTTGTGCCTGGCTTTGTGTGGGTTCTGCGGATTCAGAGTGAGCTCTCTGTATCTCCCCAGCCCCGCTGCTCCTGTGTCCTTTACTGGATCTTGAAGAATAACGACTGGGAGTCTGGATTTCTCAGCCCTAACAGAAATCGTGGTTTTAACTCTAAGCAAGACTTCCCTGGTAGAGAATTCTTCAGTTCCAGGAAAGAAAGTTAGATGATGAATATTAGAAGCAAAGTAACAGATTTTTTTCCCCCTAAAGTCATCTGTGTTTTGTTTTTGTTATTCGAGACAGGGTTTCTCCGTGTAACAGCTATGGCTCTATCACGTCTGGCCCCAGCCACTCTTTAGGTCTAAGTTTTAGCTGATTTTGTTACGACCTACTACTGTGTGGTCTTGGACAATTTCTTTCTTTCTGTTTTATTATTTTTTTTATTTATTTTTTGAGACAGGGTTTCTCCGTGTAGTTTTGGTGTCTGTCCTGGATCTCGCTCTGTAGACCAGGCTGGCCTGGAACTCACAGAGATCTGCCTGGTTCTGCCTCCCAAGTGCTGAGATTAAAGGCGTGGGCCACCACCGCCAGGCTTTCATTCCTTATTAGAACTTTCAGTTTGTACACTTGCAGAGATAAAGACAAGTGGTTCGGTTACCCTGGATGCTCCTGTTTCCAAGTTACCTAAGCTCTCACATGCATTCTGGTTATGGAGGTAGATCCAAGAGGAACATCTGGAGAGAGAGATGAGAGGTCCTGCACCCTGGAAACAACCAAAGATTGTCTTCCTGGTGGCATCTACTACAATGAGGAAGCAATAGAGACATAGGGTCATCCAGTTCCACGAGGTCCTTCAGTGCTGGAGTTCTCTGTGCCCAGCCCTGAATGCTTTATGTTCATTCCTGAGCAGAAGCAGGAGCAGATGTTATCACCACAGGGCACACACTAGCCATTTCTAAGGCTAGTGCCGGGGCACATTGGTGCCGGGGCAGGAGCAATTTGTTCTAGTCACTCATGTATGGCAAACCGAAGCAGGACTGAATGCCGTGAGGAGTATGATTGAGTAGCAGGTGCTTATCAAGTCTGGTAGGATTCCTTCAGTGCCGTGTTTTCTCAGAAGTGGAAAGTGCTGTTTGATATCATCAATCATTCACGTTCCCATTATGGTGGGAAACAGGCCCTGGACACCCTACTGTCCCAGTTAGGGTATACAATAGGATGCACTAGGGTGTTGCTAAGGGCCACAATGAGATTTAAATTTGGGCCTTCTTATTCTTTTTTCTGTTAAAATGCTTTTGTTCTATGGAATGTATAGATGATTGGTATAGACAGACTTTTATTTTGGGGCCAATACTCACAAAAAGTGGCACAGACTTATTATTAATTATGAAAGTTCAGCCTTAGCTTAGGCTTGTTTCTAACTAGCTCTTAAATTAACCCATATTTTTAACTCTACATTCTCCCATGCACTTGTTACCTCATCTTCATTATGCCCATCCTGGTTATTCCACATCTGGCTGGCAACTCTGCCTTCTTCTTCCCAGAGTTCTCTCTGTTCAGAAGTCCTGTCTAGCTTTTTATTAAACCAATCACAGTGACACATTTTCACACAGTGTAAAGGAATATTCCACAGCAGAGTGGAAGTAGTCTGGACATTTTGGCAATATGAATTCTTTTTATTTATGAACCTAAGATAGTTCTTCATAGATCTGTGTTTGTTTTGTTTTGTTTTGTTTTTAATTTTCTTCATCAATGCTTCATGACTTTTGTTTGGTGCACACAACGTTTGCCCTTTGATGATTTGAAGAACTTTGTTTTTGTTTTGCTGTTACCTATGCAAATATGATTGTTTTCTAAATTTTCCTCCTGTGTAACTTTATTGGCATATAGAAGCACCACAGATTTTTGATTATTGATTATTTTTACCCTGATACTTAAATGGATTTATGTAACAGTGTGTGTGTGTGTGTGTGTGTGTGTGTGTGTGTGTGTGATCCTTAGAGTTTTGTCTCTATATAGTAACACACAAACAAGGATACAGAAAGCTGTGGACAGATGTGGTATCTGCATACAGAAGCCTGCGAACAAATTTGAACATCCGAATACAGATGACTGTGGACAGATGTGAACACCTGCTTATAGAGGACTGTCAACAGATGGGGACAGTTGCATACAGAGAGATGTAAACAAATGTGAACATCTGCATACAGAGGGCCATGAATGGGTGAGGGCATTATCATATAGAGGCCTGTGAATGAACAGATGTTCAGTGCAGACAACAGATGAGTTATTCAGACTCTGAGACATCAGAACTCACAGGATCCTTTATTAGGAAGAACTAAGCCTTCAAAGGAATGAATGAGAACACTGAAAGATGAGGTGATGGGGTCTTACACTGAGAAGGGGTCCAAGGATGAAAGGGATTACATCTGAAGAGAAGCTGGGGTGGGGGAAAGGGAATAAGCAAGTTCTGGGGTTCTGTTTTGGGAACAGCCAAAGTCTTAGTGGCTAAGACTTGGCCAGTGTCAGCCAATCCAGAGCATCTGCTGGGCTCACAGAAGAAAGTCTCGGGTTAGGAGCCAAGACCTGGAGCTTCTTCCAGCTCAAACTTATCACATCCAGGAAGATCTGCCTGCAAGACACAAAGGTAAGGATGGAGCTGCTTGGCTGCAGTCACCTTGGGAAGCAGATCTTTCAGCTAATGGAAAGGTATGGGATCATTTTCACATCCTCTGGGCCAGCAGGGAAACCAGAGGTGATGTGAGTGCTGTGCTCAGAGTGACCCATCACGCCTTCTGATTTTCCACTTTAGACCTGTTGTTCCAGGGTGGTGACCATGGTAGCTCACATGCTGCTCCTCTGAGTTGGTCCAGGGGCTCCCCTCTCCTGTGTCCTTTCTATCCCCACGACTCACCTCAGACTTGCAGGCTTCCCCTTGCCTACCGCCTCCCTCCTGTCCTCTCCTCCCCAGGTCCTTCCCTTTTGGCGACCTCCTCCCTCCTGTTCTCTCCTCCCCAGGTCCTTCCCTTTGGAGACCTCCTCCCTCCTGTCCTCTCCTCCCCAGGTCCTTCCCTTTGGCAACCTCCTCCCTCCTGTCCTCTCCTCCCCAGGTCCTTCCCTTTTGGCGACCTCCTCCCTCCTGTCCTCTCCTCCCCAGGGCCTTCCCTTTGCACCCCCAGGACTGCTCAGGTCTTGGAAAGGATTGATGCTCAGATAGCTGTTTAGTTTTAGTAAAGATGCAGGTTGGGGACCTTTAACACTTACGTTTCATTTTGCAGACAACATTACAGATACCTTCAGTCTGGAAGTTATTAGGGTTCCCTTGGCAACCACCATAGATGAATTCGGTACAGAGCTCAGTTTCTTTATTATACCACCAGCGTGGAAAGTAAGCCAAGCAGGGGCCCGGATCCGGTGGCAGACTGCATATATCTGTGGGGAAATCATGGGAGACAGATATTTGGATGCTTGTCTCCTAGGGGACAATCCCATCCCTTTCCTCTGTCCACTGCTCCTTGTCCAGCTCAGAGCTGTGCTTCCAGCTCAGTGGGAGATCTGACCACCCACTTCAGCCTCTTTGGTCCTGGCTTCCTCATCGGCAGGATGATAACACAGAGTACCACTTTGCTTGTCAGGACAGGACCGTCACAGGAACAGAAGCAGCCATTGCACACAGTTCTTTCACTCTCTCTGCAGCATCTGAACAACGACTTCTTGATGATTTTGCCTCATGAATGGACCTCCTTTCTTCCTTCTTCCAGGAATGGCCACCATCTAAGTTCAAACATCTCCAGTCTACTGGACATCGGGTTCCAGAGTAACTGACCCACTAGCTCAGGACAAAGTTGCCTCCCAGCCTGAGAGTCCATGTCTCCTCTCTCCACAGCTTCTCTCTTTTGCTGCTCCTAACACTCATCCTTTCAAACTCATGCGTGGACGTCACCCTGTTCTCCCGTCTGCATGCCTTCACAGGGCTCAACCTCGAGCTGCTCTTCCTAACAAGGCACACTCCTATTCATCCTTCAAAACCCTTCCACTAGCCAGGTATGGTGGCATTTGCCTGACATCCTAGCACTTGGGAAGCTGAGGCAGGAGGATTGCAGTGATTTCAAGGCTGTCCTGAGCTATTCAGAAGACCCTGTCTCGAAACACTCCCAGGCATCAATGCCTTTCTGATGTCTCCAGGGTCTACTCTTTAGCCCTTGATGTTCATGCATCTGTTTTATGTCTGTGATGAAGATTTATCATGACTTTATCCATATTTTCTGAGTGCTGGAAAACGTGAGCTCTTCATGGGCAATGACTGTGCCTTAGCTTGGAACAGCAGTTCTGAGCAGATTATTTGGCAAGGAATGGATATTTCAGGAATGTTCTCAGAAAGGAAGAAAGAGAGAAAGAAAGGAAGAAAGAGAGGGGGGAGGAAGAAAGAAAGAAAGGGAGGAAGGAAGGAAGAAAGAAAGAAAGAAAGAAAGAAAGGAAGGAAGGAAGGAAGCAAGGAAGGAAGGAAGGAAGAAAGAAAGGAAGGAAGGAAGAGAGAGGGGGAGGAAGAAAGAAAGGGGAGAGGGAGAGTGCGAAGGAAGGAAGATCCCAGACTTAAGCATCGACTGAGCAGCTGATTTCCCACTGTAAACACCGTCACAGCCCCACATCTTTGCTATTAAAGCATTGCCGTGGGTTTAGCAGTTGACGCAGTTAGCTTCTCCTCTCGTGTGGTCGTCCTCCTACTGTTCTCCCTGTGCAGGTAGGGACAGGAGACTGCAGAGGAGAAGTGAGTCTCCTGATGTCACACAGCTGGTGAGGGAGTTAAATGTAGACGACCCACCAGCTGTGGTGGTGCACGCTTGGAACCCCCGACATCAGAAGGCTGAGGCAGGAGGATGTCAAGGTCGAGGTCAGCCTGGCCTACCAGCGATTCCCTGACTCAGCAACCAGCACCCAAGCAGAGCACAGTCAGGGGTTAGGACCACAGGGAGGATCGAGTCCAGACCTCCGGGTGCCCTCCCTCCTCCAGCTTCACTTTCTTCACTTGCCAGTGTTTCCAGGCCTGGTCACATGTCTCCTGACAGGGCCTTCCCGTGAGCACTTGCTGGTGTCTGGAAGGCTACTCCTCCCTGTGTTTGCCTGCATACTACCCATCCTTCAGATTCCAAGTCCTATATACCTTTCCCAGGAAAAGCTTTCGTGGCCACAGTGAGCAGGTGGAGTCCATCATGGGTGTCGCGAGCACCTGTAAATATCTGTTGATTGATAAAATGGGTGGATAGTTTTGATGGCCTTTTGTGGAGCTCAAGGATCTGAGCAGAGAGGAAAGAGTAGGAAAGGCTACAGCAATGAAGGACGGTACCCTGGGTTTGTGTCAGTCTGAGGCTGGACAAACAAGCCAGGAACCGCAGGACACCTGCCTCAAGCTTATCCTGCAACCAGACACGCCATTGCCGTTTGCTGAGACTTTGCTAGCTACTTGGCGTCTCAGAACAGCACCTAAGAGTGGTCAAGGGGATCACATGACCCAGTGCCCACATCTATCTTAAGAAGGAAAAATGAGGTTCAGAAAGGAAAAAGAACCTCAGCCACAGCCACTTCATTTACTCAAATAGACAAACTGTTACAAGAGAGGTCTCCCGGGCCAGTACCTACAAGATCTGCACCAAGTAGAAGATGCCATGGGATCTTAGTGAACAGTAGCCCTCACCGAGGGTGGGGCGACGCGGAAGCAGGAGGCTGGGGGCAGCTCAGGGGGTGAGAGAGGTACCTTCTCTGAGGTCTAAGCATTTCTTTCCACAGCTGAATAGGCAGCATCTCTTCTTGTCTGGACAGTGTCGGTGCCTCGTACACTCATTTCTTTCTTCCACTTCACACTTGAGTCTGACTCTTGGGCATGATTCTACAGGAGCAGAAGGGGTGGTCCCGTGAGGGGTTGAAGGAGATACGTTCTTCCCAGTTCCAGGCGCCACTGCGGAGCTGAGGAAGCGTGTTTGCCCCTCAGCTGTCATGAGAGGAGGTAACCCTCAGAGACTCAGGGTTTCCCCAGCACTGGCCTCATCTCCACTGTGATGACTCAGCTCCCAATCCCTGGGACCTTCCCTAGCCCTCTCTCCACCACCTACAGGATCCCCCAGAGAGGGACCCGCTCCTTGGGGACTGTTCTGATCCTTTGGCTTCGTCCTTGGTTGGCCCCTGTAGCTCTCACTGTTTGCCCAGATTGTTGTCCTGAAGGCCGCAGGAACAAAGTTTGCAAAGCCTAGGTCAAGATGCCTGGGCTAAAAGAACAGTGAGTGATACTAACGGAGGACTTAGGGAGCACTTGGCCTTCCCCCTGCTCCTCACTGCACAGTTAGTTCCCAGTAAGTCCTGTCAGTGCTCCACACAGTGAACAGAGGCACCCAGAGCATGGGGAGGCGCTGTGGACTTGGGTAGGGTCACACAGGTCAGCAGGAGTAGACCCAGAATTTGTGCCTGTCACGGGGCCTCCTAAGCACTCACTTGCCCCACTACCTTCAAGTGCTCAACGTGTTTCAGCTGGCAAGGATGAAATCCCCATGCGTCACCATTCAAAGGGACCCTGGAGGCTGTTCTTTAGCACACAGGTAAGGTCCTGTGTGGATACAGGACAGCTTTGGGGAGGTGCAGTGGGCAGGTGAGGAGGCTGATGGGGTGGTGCTAGGGAGAGGCTCATCCTTCAG